ATATATATATATATATATATATATATATATATATATATATATATATATATATATATATATATATATATATATATATATATATATATATATATATATATATATATCTTTGCTTACTTCCTTTATTCCCAAGCTGTGTTGTAAAAGTCACCCAGGACAGAACATTGCTTTATTTGAATAATCCAGCAATTTAATTAGAATAGCAATCAACATACTCGAGTAGGCCTGGGTACCCTACTTCTGTAATTTATCCCAAGAATCTTCTTCTCATAACAGGAAGAAGCCGGCTCAATCCGCCCAGGGTGAATGCCGCTTTTGAAAAAAAAAATCAACATAACAGTTGTTTATTTATAAAGACCACAAATGACAAATTGGGAATAAGTTACTTTAAAACAATTTTCAAACTAAATATGCAAATTAGTTATATTCAGCTACTTATTCGGACAAGATATTCGGTCATGCTGACAGATGATAAAAAAACATACATTTGTTTTATTATTTGATTTAATAGTTTTTATGTAATATTTTATGTAATATTTGCACATACGCAAAGCCAATTTTATACATTTAATGTTCAGAGCTTTTAGTGGACATACAAATTTTGAGTTTCATAGATTCCAACTGAAAGTTAACGTGAAACAGAAAGTTGATTAGTTAACCCAATGAACTCTAAGCAGTTGCCGGTACACTATCGCTGGACAGTTTGGCTAAATTTCACTATTTCAGTTGTGGTTGTATCATTAACGACTCACCCTCTGTTCATTTGATGTGTCGGTGTATCGTCACGATCTTTGTCACTTGTCATCGTTGTCTGCGCACACTAACTTGAGGTCACTCACGGAATAGACTTCCTCATAAATCATTTCATCAGATTCGAGCACATCAGGAGTACTATTAATTTAATATGAATTTAAAGAAATGTGTGGAACCATGATAGTTTGAATCATAAAGGAATAAACCTCAGAGTTCTTTTAGCCTTCTGCCAGATTGAAGTAAGCTTGGTAAAGTGGTAGACTAAGCCTAGCTAAATCTGGCACAAGAGCCGATAATGAAGCACAGAGTAATGACTAGGCAATCAGCATCCTAATGCTTATCGAAAGTGACTGACGACAGGTTCACATCTTTGCAAATCTTACACGCTTTTTCCTTTAAAATTCTGAACAAGCGGGTTGACCGATTTCTCTTTCCACATACAAATAGGCTTCTGATTATTAGCAGAAAAATATGTAAACAAAACCTGTAGCCATTCCTAAGAATCAGAAAGTGGTGAGCATGATTAGGCAATAAAATTGCACCCCAATATAAACATCAGATACCCTTCCAAAAGGGCAAAGTAAACGTGCTAGTAGAAAATAAAGTGAAGACCGTTAATATATATATATATATATATATATATATATATATATATAGTAATAAGAAGAAGACGGAGACTTTATCCATTTCGATTATAATTTATTTTGTGAACATCGAGGTGTTCAATTCTTCAGATCGAAATCTTCTTGGTAAATGAAGAAAATACACCGAATACATTAGATTGGGAGTGGTGAGGAAAAGTGAAAGAGAAGAGATGGATAAAGAAAGGGCTAAGGGATTAGTGGTTGGTAGTAGTCGGTTCACCCAGCCGAGAATTTATTCTATAATTTTGAGATTTTTATATTAGGTTGTATTTTACATTGACCAATACGGTTTGTTGTTTTTAGGCAGGACAAACCAGGTCGATTCAAATTAAGGTAAGACATCTATCTATCTATCTATCTATCTATCTATCTATCTATCTATCTATCTATCTCTCTATATATATATATATATAAAGAAATATAGTTTTAAGATGTGCTATATTTATGGGATAAAGTGCTCAATATCAGAGATAAAGCGTATGTAAATATAAATATAAAAGTGAACATTGAAGTCAACACTTAGAGGCGACAGGCTGTTTCATGCTAGACGCAATCGTCAGGCCGCGAATGTTGGATTTTTCCTCGACTATTTATATATATATGGGTTAGTGGTGCATTGTGAGTAATCTATTCTGGCGGTTATTTTTGCGTGAGTGACTTGTTTGTTTATCTATTTATTTAGTAAATTAACCCAAACAAATAAATAAATAAACAAACAAGCCACTCAATGACTTCAATGTTCACCCACACACACACACACACAGATATATATATATATATATATATATATATATATATATATATATATATATATATATAAATGGTACGTCAAGAGGTGTATCTTCGAAGTGAATTTAAATTTTTGACAATGGAAAAAATTAGCTTTAGCATAAAAGATCTCTTGAAGTTTTCTATGGAAATTACAATTGTCAATTTGATTAGCGATCAGTCTCCATGCTGCATTTCAGAAGCTTTTCAGGTTTTAATAGTTTGATATTGACTTGACCGCAACATTCGGCAATTGAAAATGTTGACAGTTTTAATGCTTCATGCCTGAACATTGGAGACTAATCTACAAAAGAATTGTTCCGTGGCGTCGTAGCGCCCTTGGCACGTTTTCGACTTGCCATGCCCCAGATACGCCATAGGGTTAAATGGAATACTATATTTCGTATTATTTTGCTGATTCTAAAATGGAGGTAGCATGCTCTGATTGGCGTTTAGCTGACGGGCATTATACCAGCCTTACAGGTTGAACAAGTGGAATAAACTTTAAGGTAGTGAACCTAAGCGGAAGTGTTGTTAAAAAGAGTTCAACTTACCGGAAGAGATTAACTAGTATTTTCATGAGAATATTAAAACACAAAACCAATAACTACTGAATAAGTTGAATAAATTATACAGGGTGTTCGCACTGCACTTTTTTAATTTTTTTTTTTTACACTTCAGATTTCACTCCAATATGGTTTCAACAACTGAAGACCGTCTATTTCTCGTCGAACACCATTTGGAGATGTTGGTAGATACAGATTTAGTGCGACAGCGTTTTATAGATAAATTTTCAGATACACCTGTTCCACATCGCAATGCAGTTCGTAACCTTGATTTATTTTGCGAAACAGGATCAGTGGACGATGACAAAGGTTGTGGAAGGACAGCTAAGCTATGAGATTAGAAACTGTTGGATATTTCTGACAGTACGAAGAACTGTCCAAGAAAATCATTATGAAAGTTAGCTCAGCGGCAAGATATTGGTCTTGGAATACCTCAGACAAAAAGCCGTCAAACAAAAATTAATCTTCAGTTTGCACACCCCCCCCCCCGCCACATTGGAGGTTAGAATGTGGGTTGCGATTGCCAGATGTTCATTTGTTGGCCCTATTTTCTTTGTGAACACAATGAACTGCGAGCGCCATTATTCAGAGATTCTTCCTATCTTCATCGGTCAGATAACAAGTGAGGAAATAAATGACTCGTCATTCCAACATGACGGCGCGGCTGCCCACACATCTCACAGATCGATGCAGGTTTTTGAGAAAATTTTTGCAGACCGTATTCTTTTCAAAGACGTGTTGGTCCCCACGCTCGCCATATGAAAATACACCAAACTTTTATCTATGGGGAGCAGCAAAATTTGAAGTGTATCGAGATCGTCTGCGTATACTGGACCACTTGAAAGCATCGATAACTGCGTTTATTCAGTCTATTTCAAATGAGCAACTGATAGCGGAATTCAGAAAGGATTCTAGCATGATAAGATGCTTCACTTTCAACACTGTTTATAATTTTCATTCATATTCTCCTCCTGTATTCTAGATTGAAACATGCCTTAATAAAAATAAGTGCATAGTGACTTTCCAAACACCCTGTACTTACTTCCATTTTTCAAAACAATGGGAAGTGAAAAGTTGAAATTAATTCAAGTTTTATTTTTCATTTCTTAATGTCATGCTGGAAATTCTGAGTTACATGTAAATCACTCGAGAAGTTTTACCAAAGCTGTACATAAAGAGCATAAAACGTTTGGAGGTTATTTAAAAGCCAGAAAGAATTTGCACATTGTAAGAATTTTTTTTTTTTTAGATAAAGTTTTAGTGATACAAGACTTACTGTGACAGAGAGAGTCTGGGAAACACACACACACACACACACACACACACGTTTATTTTTTTTAGAGAAAATTGGAAAAGATTTGGACTAGCAAAATTAATCAGAGCATTTCATTTACTGATGGGAAATCTGACCTAAGGCAAGAGCTGTAGCCATTGGAACTGGTTCATTAGCAGGTCGAAATAATTTTTATTGATTAAAACTTGGAATAGAGCTGAGTAAGCAAAGAGGACCTTTTGAATTCACATGATTTTGGTTGAAACAACCAAAACCCCGTGATAATCACGTGCGAAGTAGTAGGGCCAAGGTTCAGTTGTAACCAGCCAGCTTTTTCTATATAAACACGTAGTTATGCTGAAAAAGAGGCAGACGGAAGAGAGAGACGGAAAATAATTAGCCCAGGCAAGAGTTGGGCTAGAGACAGTGGAGAGTCGAGTTGGAGACTCAAGAAGGAGAGAAAGTGACGTCAGAGATTGGAACAAAGCGTCCACTAACATGTGCTGTTGATATAAGTACCTCTGCAAATATTACTACTACTGTTACTACTGCTAAGGAGGAACGCCACTATAAACTTTAAGCCACGCACAGAAATCTTATTCCCCCATCGTTCTGAGATGATTTAACAACAAGTTAATCATAACACACTCTCTCTCTGTCCAGAATCCAGTGTATGCATTTTTACGTCAATTACTTTTCTTTCCTGTAACCCGTTTCTTTTCTATACTATTCTGTGGACCGAGCTTAAACCCGCTCTGGTGCGGCAATACGCAAGTTAGCGTACGGCCATTGAGGCTGTCAGGAAATTATTGCGGCTACAGCAACAAGAAGGAGAGACTAATGAGGAATTGAGGGAAGGAATCGCGGGGCTAGCGGCGTTAGCTTTTCCGGAGTTGGTGACTTGGGACAGTCGTCCTATTCAGGCCTTGTTGACCGATGTGTATGTGGACGCGTTGAGTGACAGGGACCTGTGGGGCGATGTTCTGAACTTGGGACGGGTTAGCCTAGCTGCAGCCATAGAGGCGGCTCGGACCAGCGAACGACTCTGGGAGGTGTAGGTAGTAACCCCGGGGGGCATGTAGTGATGGAAAAGAAGGACCGGGAGCGGATCCAGATGCGGGACCCGAGAGAGGAGGTGGAAGAGGATTGGAAGGTTAAGGCAGTTCCCAATAGGAAAGCCTGGGATATGCGTTATGGGCTTCACAAGCCCACACCGGGCCGATATCGGCTGGTGTGCTGGACTTGTAAGTATGGTGGGCATCAGGCCCGCGACTGTCCGACAAACTATGGAGGCGACCCAGGGTCTTTAGGGCCGAACTGCACGACTTGTGGCGAGTTCAGGCACAAGGCTCGCTGGTGTGTGGCAGAGGGAGACCGTAAACTGGGAATAAAGCGAGTTAATACGCTGGTGCCCCCCTACCGAGAAGGAAAAGGGTCCAGGAAACGCCGATGGGTCACCCGTGAAAAAGTAAGAGGCAGGGTGGCCGCCATTGCAAGTAAGACCTCTGAGATGCTGTACATGTGGTGTACTTTTCGTCAAGTTGTAAGGAGCTGAGACGAACCTGTCCTCGCAGGAGAAAGATGGACCACACCGAACGGAACAACCCTAACCCGAATAGAGGGGAGAAAAGAGGAGTCACCCGAGCTCTACTCCACCCAGGAGGGCCCCTAGACAGAAATGGGAGCCCCTAGAAAAAGTTGAACTCCTGTCACCGACTCCCACGTCTCGGTTATCGAGAAAGCGATACGAAGGGAGAGAACCCACGGGAAGGAGAAAGGCACAGGTATACCGTTTGCTGAAAGAAGGGCCAGACTTCACCTGTAATGTGTTGCTGGGAGACAAAAAGGTGAAGGTCCTCGTCGATACTGGAGCTTCAGTGTCACTGGTTAACTCCAAGTTTTTTAGACAGTTGGGACTGAAAACAAAGCTTAGTCCCATCGATCTACCAATAAGTCAGGCTGATAGTAGCAGGATGAGGATCGAGGGTATGACGTGGCTACCTTTCCAGTTGGCAAGAACCAGAGGTAAACTTAAGGTTTATGTGGCACCTGACTTGTGTGGTGAGCTAATTTTGGGAAGTGACTGGCTTAGGCAGAATAAGGCACAGATCCGTTTCGACCCCTCCACCCTAACATTGGACGGGGTAGGGATACTGTTGGGAGAGGATAATTATGAACAATTGCCAGTGGTGGCCCAGACAAATATAAAGCTTCCCCTTAGGACTACTGTATCCAGATACAAAAGGGCAAGATTATAATAGAAGGAGTGCTGAACAGTGACATGTACCAAGTGATCCCTACTGATAGGTATGATAATAGTGAAGGGGAAATAACCATGTGTGATTCGTTGGTGAAGAGGTCGGGGACTGTTCCCTTACTGTTAACCAATACTGCCAATAAAACTATTAAAATAAAGCAGGGAGAGGAGCTGGCTCAGGCGTGCCCAGTGAGAGAAGTCGAACAGGTGAGAGTATGGAATGAGAATAGGCCTGGGAATAAGACAGGTAGCAATGAAATAAGGGATGAAGATATAACAGCTCCTGAGCGTTATAGGAGGAAATTGAGGGGTTGCTGAACGGTAATCGGGAGGTAATAGCCATTACTGATAAGGAACTGGGACAGACGGAGACAGTTGAAATGAAGATAGACACGGGTAATCACCCACCTATTAAGTTAAGACCGTATAGGACCCCAATCCACAAAAAGAAAATTAGTAGAGAACGCAGTGAATGAAATGATGGAATCAGGGATAATCGAAAGATCCAAATCTCCTGGAGTTTTCCAATAGTGATTGTTGAAAAGAAGGATGGAGGGCATAGGTTTTTTGTGGATTTTCGTCAATTAAATGCCATTACGAAACCGCTGGCAGTGCCCCTCCCTTGATTGATGATATTCTAGCTCTTTTAGGAAAGTCTAAATGTTTTTCCACCTTGGATTTGAGGTCGGGATATTGGCAGGTAGCACTTAGCAAAAAAGGATCAGGAAAAGACCGCTTTTTACCTGCCACATGGGTCTCTTCAATTTTAGAGTTATGCCGTTTGGGCTGGCAAACGCCCTGGGTGTATTTAGTCAGTTAATGTCCATCGTATTGAATGGCACCGAGGCATTTGCCATGGCGTATCTAGATGACATCATGGTGTTTTCAAAATCACCGGAGGAGCATTTTGAACATCTGCAGAAGGTGTTCGATAGGTTAAGAGAACATGGATTAAAGTTAAAATTATCGAAGTGTCAGTTTATGAAAGAAGAGACAAAGTATTTAGGGTTTATCATAAACAAAGAAGGAATAAAAACGGATTTAGACAAAGTTGAGGTTATAAGAGCCATGCCCGCACCGAAGACCGTAAGAGAGATTAGGGGATTTATTGGAGCCATCGGATATTACCAGAGGTTCATACCAGCATTTAGTCGGCTAGCAGGCCCTCTAATAGCTCTAAGAAGCATGCTAGGTTTAAGTGGACCGAGGATTGTCAGTGTGCATTCGAGGCTCTAAAGGACCAGCTGACAGCTGTATCCCTGTTGGCCTACCCAGACCTGAGTAAGCCCATGGTGCTGTACACCGATGCTAGCGATAAGTGTATCGGGGCGGTTCTTACACAACCATGTCCCGATAAGGATGGACCAGTACCGGGTGTGCCTGAGGAAGTGCCGATCTATTTTCTGTCTCATCGGCTCTCCGAGACTCAGCAAAGGTGGCCAGTAATAGAAAAAGAGGCGTTCGCCATTCTGTATGCTGTGCAGAAATTAGATTATTATTTGAGTGGGGCTGTGTTTACCATTAAAACAGACCACAAACCCCTCAAATATTTGTTAGAGGTGGAGTGGACGAATAAGAAGATACAACAGTGGGCATTGAAGTGGGTATAACTGCAAAATAGAATATTTGGCAGGGACGGATAATACCTGTGCTGACCTGTTATCGAGATTCCGAGGCAATTAGAGACCGAATCTGTCAGGTTGGAGCCGGGTGTGGATGATAAAGCATTCCAAATTAATGTGATCAATTCATAGGCGTTGAAGGAGAGACTTGGTTGGGAAGATCAGGAAACGAGTGAAAAGAAGATTTTTTCCGCCCCCCCCCACTAGAGAGATACTATTAGGCAAAGCCAAGAGGATAGAGAGATAGCAACTATCAGGTCCAGGGTAGAGGCAGGGTGTACCTCCAAATATATGGTGCACGATGGAGTGTTGTATTACCTTTCAGGAAGAGATGAGGAAGTAAGTTTAAAAATGGTGATACCTGAGAAGTTGAGAGCTGAAATTCTAGACCAGTGCATTAGGAGGTTAGGACCCCTGGGAATTGATAAGATGTATGGATTAATAATGTGAAATTACTACTGGCCTAAGTTGTTTAATGATGTTGTGAACCATGTAAAAAAATGTGTAACATGCCAAGTACAGAGTCGAAGGAGTAGGGTTGCCCCAGTATTAGAAACGGATGTTCCGAATTATCCATTTCAGAAAGTAAGCATGGATATTTCCGGGACCTATGGAAAACACATAGAGGTAATCTTTACATAGTGAGTTTTGTGGACTGGCTGACGAATTGGCCTGAGGCATTTGCCAACCGGATAAGAAGGCACGAACGGTGTCAGATATAATACTGAACGAAATATTCCCTAGGTATGGGGCCCCCGAACAGTTGGTTACCAATAATGGATCGGAGAATGTGAATCAGATTATGAGAGAGACGTTGGGAGAATTAAACATACAGCACATAACCACCTCTCCATATCACCCCCAAAGTAACGCTAAGGTAGAAAGATTTCATAAGACCCTCGCTGATGTGTTAGCTAAACTAACAGAGGATAATAGGGAAAATTGGGATTTATTCGTAACCCAAGCGTTAGCAGCTTAGCAGCTGTGAGATTCTCGATGAACGAGACGACAACATTTTCCCCTTATTACTTGATATATGGCAGGGATGTAGTCTTACCTATAGACAATCTGTTACGACCTAGGAGGAAGTATTTAGGAGAGGATCATCACCAAATAGTTTTAGAACAACAGCATAAAATTTTTACGCAGGTGAGGAGGAGGATTCAAAGAGCCCAGAAAAGGTGAAACGATAGGGTAAATAAAAATAGAGAAGTTTCCTTCCAGATAGGTGATCCAGTGTATTATAAAATACACCTGGGAGAAGGTAAATTGGATCGTGGAGCAGACAGGTCCGGTTTCCTTTGTGACCTGGGACCAATTGACCGAACAGATGAAGAGAGTGCATGCGAATGATATAAAGCTAGCTGAAATAGGAGAATGGAAAGGAGCCGAAACAAAAACTCAACAGAAAAGGCTGAGGAAAACTACGTTGGTAGAACCTGAAGGGTTAGAGACTGAGAGTGAAAGTGAAGGGAGTGAGGAGATTGAAATTAGCCCAACTACCCTTCGAAGGCTGAGGGAGGTAAGTCGGACCCCAGCGGGACATTCTGAGGAAGCAGGGATTGAGCCTAACCTTAGGGAAGAAGAAGAACTGAGTGAATGGGAAGAAGAGGATGAAATTCCGTTAGCTCAATTGCAGAGTAAATTGCGGGCTGAAAAAGCACCTAGTGTTAATGAGGAATTACCACTAAAACGGCGATTGAGGGGAGCGGTGCAGCCCTGAGCCCAAGGATTAAGTGAAACCAGTACAGTGGCTGTGGTGAATGAGTGACGGTCTGTGACTAACTTTGCAATTATCATCGGTGCTGGTGAACTGTGTGGACGGGCCTCATGCATGCACGGCGCTGGTGGTGGTGCTTGAGGTATCGCTCTAAGATGTAACCACCCGAAAAAAACAATAAGAGAATGATTGAGTAAGACGAATTATTCTCTCCATCTCTTTTGCAGACATGGACGAGAGGAGGCTCCTGGTACTAACGATGCTAGTTGTGGTAGCTAATACCTGGGAACACTGTGAGAATACTGTATTTAAGAAGACTAGCGAAGTGATTATAACTAGATCAGAGTGGTTGATAACTTTGGTGATAGACCTGCAGCCGTATGAGAAGTTACTGGGTCAGTTGAAGATCGAAGTGGACAAACTAGATACAGCCAGGACACAAGTCGCCGGAGACTATTTACAAACTCCGGAATATATTATACCCCTTCGCTCAGGAATCCCTAATACTTGAGAGACAATGGAAGTATATGAGTTACTATTTGAAAGGAATAAAGTTGTTACGGACCAGGCAAAAGAGAACAGTATTACCTATAATGGGAAAGGCATTAAGCGTGTTGTTTGGTACAGTCTCCGAAGACGAAGTGTGAGTAATTAAGAGGAAATTAAAGGTGGTAGAACAGAGACAACAAGCAATGGCTCAGTCGGTTAGAGAGAGCGTATCTATACTCAATGTTACTAGGCTGGAATTGACTAAGAATAGAGGGAGTATTAATTGGTTGATTTCTCTCCTACAGGTTTTTAGAAAAGAAGTGATAAATGTAACCACCGAATTACAGAAAATAGAGGGGTTTTTGCAAAGGTATTTTGAATTATTAGCGATAATGAGTAAGGTACGTCAAACAACTCGCTCTTTAATGGTGTTGTTAGAGCACAATTAGACATGCTGTCACTGGGACACCTGTCTCCGAGTATAATAACGCCAGAACGATTAAGGGAAGTACTACTGGAGATACAAGCCAAACTACCCCATCATCTTAGATTACCTGTAGACCCCACCCAGCAGTTATGGAGGTATTATAGTGCCTTGGGATGTACTACCTTGTTGGAAGATGATAAATTGCTAGTGCTAGTGTCGGTTCCATTACTGGACAGAGATAGTACCTTTGAAATTTATCAGGTGATGAATCTTCCCTTCCCTATCCAAAACTAAGGCCGAAGATAGGGAGCGGTGGCTAGGTACAAAGGTAGAGACGGAATTTGTTGCCCTAAACCTAGCCAGGACAGAGTTTATGCTATTAACAAAGGGAGAAGCAGAAAAATGCAAGAATGATGCCTTAGGTATCTGTGGGTCTGTAAGTCCAATTTACGTGACAGGTAGTCATAATCTGTGTGTACTAGATTTATTTAAGAAAAATAAGAAGGGAATTAGAGATCATTGTCAGGTAGAGGTGTTGGCTAGTGTAATGTTACCTAAAGCAACCAGTGTCTCTGACGGAATTTGGGCGGTGGCCACACAAGAAGAGATCGAATTATCTAAGGTGTGTGAAGGGAAGCCCACCACTACGATAAGAGTTATTCCCCCTTTGTTTTTCGTAGAGCTACCCATTGGTTGTGGAGCTCATGGTCCATCTATCTCTTTACCCCCCTACTACCAAGCAGAAGAGAAGTTTGAAGAGAATGAGGCTTTGTTAGAGCTGGTAGGAACGAATACCAGTGGATGGACGGGATTGTGGGAACCCATTGTAAGAGAGATTCCTAAGATGTCGCTAGAAAAGATGTCGGCGTTGTTAAGGCCAATCGATAAGATTGATCTTGAAAGGTTGAAGTCGGAGTAAGATAGGTCCGCCGAATTCGGACTGGAGAGAGAATTGGGTTGCTATAATAACCTGGCCGTCCGTTGTGGGAATTATACTAATGATAGGCGTGGCCGTGCTGGTTCGGTGGTGGTTGAAGAGATGTGCGGTGTTGTCGATCAGGCAGAATAAACTGGCACGGGAGTGCATGAGTGAAGGAGGATTCCAGTTAGTGCACTTTACCAAGGTAGGTCCGACCCGAGTGCATTGGGACCCCTAACTGATATTGAAGAAGAGTCCACGATTGTCGTGGAAGGACCTGAACCAACAAAAGATTCGACAAAGCCTGTTGTGAAGGCGAGACAAAATCGGAGGGACAGATTTACGAAATAAATCAAATTTTTTATTTTTATTTTTAGTAATGAGACTGAAATAATTGGTAAGGAGTGTTGCGAACTTAAAAAAAAAAAAAAAAAAAATGGAAGAACTAGTGAACTATGTTAAAAGGTTCTATTGCACGAGATCACCAAAACAGTGAACTTTAATCGGAAGTTGCATGTACATATGTATCGTAAGGACAATGAAAATGTAAATGGGCATAATGAGCCCTAAGAAGAACTGAGGATTCTACCTTTGCATGTTGGTAGAGACGTATGTTTAAGTAGCCTCTAGTAAGAAGTATGTTGGACTGGGTTTTCTCATATTTTGTTGATATGAAAGCTCGTGTGTCATTTACTAGTAAATGACAGATGGGTAGGGGAGGAAATGTAACAGAGAGAGTCTGGGAAACACACACAGACGTATATTTTTTTTTAGTGAAATTGGAGTAGATTTGAATAGCGAAATTTAATCAGAGCATTTTGTTTACTGATGGGGAAATCTGATCTAGGGCAGAAGTTGTACCCATTGAATCTGGGTCATCAAGGGACAATGATAATGGTTGAAATAATTTTTATCGATTAAAAATTGAAATAGAACTGAGTAAGCTAGAAGGAACTTTAGAATTCACATGATTTTGGTTGAAACAGCCCAAACCCCGTGATAATCGCGTGCGAAGTAGTAGGGCCAAGGTTCAGTTATAACCAGCCTGGTTTTTCTATATAAACGCGTAGTTATGCTGAAAAAGAGGCAAAGAGACAGATGAGACGGAAGAAAAGTTGGGCTAGAGACAGTGGAGAGTCGAGTTGGAGACTCAAGAAGAGAGAACATGACGTCAGAGATTGGAACCGTCCACTAACATGTACTGTTGTTGATACAAGTACCGCTGCTTCTGCTAGCATGAATATTACTACTACTGTTACTACTGCTGAGGAGGAACGCCACTATAAACTTTAAACCCCGCCCATCGCAAGAGTCGTATATCGTTCTGAGACGATTTAACAACAAGCTAATCACAATACACTCTCTCTGTGTCTAGAATCCAGTGTATGAGGGTTTTTTTTTTCAATTACTTTTCTTTTCTGTAACCCGTTTCTTTTCTATACTATTCTTTCCTGCTATATAAAAGACATTAACAATTCAACCATTGAATAGTTGTTTGTCCGGCTTTCTGCAGATATATATTTTTTTTTTTTGCTGCATTCTAAATTTCTTAGCGCAGACTCTTCAGCAGTGTCTACATCTTCAGTCGGTTGATTCACATTTGGAGTTTCGTTGTTTTCTTAAACGGAATCATTTTAGCGTCTTAAAATCTAAAAAGAAATCTTGCGCAATTGTCAAAGAAACGTTCATGACATCCAAAACAAAATTATGTCATCTTCAAATCTTGGAAAATTTTTTGTTGACTACTATATTTTTAAAATTCGTCTGATTGCTAATAAATCAATACTGCCTTTCCAATTTAGCCATATTTTTCTGATTCGGTTTTGAATTGGCTAAATTTAATAAATTTTAAAATACATATTTTACGCAAAATAAATCAGGTTTTTACCTGCCTTTAAAGAGGCGACTTTTGAACGCCAGTAGAGTCTAAAGCCAGTCATACAAAACCTATGACTTTACTCACAAATTTCAAAAAAAAAAATAGGAACACATATAAAATATATCCCAAATTCAAGTAGGAGACCTTTTAACTTTCTGATCAATTGTATTCTTGTGTTATCTATTCTAATACAGACTTGCCGCGCTAAAGAAATTCTAGTTTTTTTTCAATTTGTAAACAGCAAGAAATTACTTTAAAAATATGTCTTCTGAATTTATTTTACAAGTTTACTGGAACATAATTTCAAGCTTTTCAGGACACAATTCAAGAAACTGAATCAAACTCAGTTCTATTCAACGGAAAATATTTTTTCTTGTGTTATTTCAATTTACTCTTTTTTGAACATTTTCCGAATGATTTTATGCACAATGAACACGCCCATAACATTTATGTAAACTTTAATGCTTATATTAGATATTCGTTAACAGGACAAATCAAAAAAAGTTTTTTTTTTTCAGTCAAACAGGACCCGCCAATCAAGTATGGTCTGAATCGTAAAAGAAAATGAAAAATTATATTATATATATATATATATAATATATATATTATATATATATATATTAATTATATGAAATATAAAAAAAAACATTCAATTAATATATATATATATATATATATATATTATATTATATAAAACAATTATTTAAAACATTTTCATTTGTGAGACCATATTAAAAATTTTTTTTCTCTCTTTTCAAATTCATTTTAGAAGAATTGTAGTCAACTCTTATTTTTAATTAGCATTTATTAATTTCTTGTACCAAAAACACTATTAATTTAAAAAGGATACATTTTATACAAGAACCATTTTAATAAATTTCAATTATTGAATTTTTGAAATTCAACAAAGCTAAATATTCTTAGCACTTATTTTTGATAATTTGTAAAATTATTATATAAATATGTTTTTGTTGTTTAAAATATTAAAATTGTCATCTTTTGTATTGCCTTGTTAGCCTTGTGCCATGTTTCTAAAGTCCCTAAAACATGTGGAGGTTTAAATTTTATTTTAAATTTTCCAGACTTCATATTACAAACAGCTTTCTGATCAATTTTCAAACTTATTTAACCTTCACCTCCGCAACACGTTTGTGTATGTCGACTAAGATTGAGAAACTGTCTTGTTCATTGCAAAAAAAATTTCGTGCAGTATTTTATGGCAAAATGGAAAAAAAATACATTAACATAAGCACAAATAGCAAATTTTTTTTCTTAAATGATTTAATAAAGTATTTATTTTTAGAAAATTTTTTAATTCCGTGAATACATTTTGAACTTGGTATTTAATACGGATTATTTTATCTTTTTATGAAAGAAACCTTAATAATTTTAAATTTATCGAATAGAACAGAAAATTGGACTTGAAAAATATTGTTGAATCTATTAGCTCGGAATGAGAACAATAGAAACTTTAATAATAATTTTCCATTTTTAGAATGCATTTTAAACCATAAGTATCGCTTTTTTTGGCGGTACCTAAAACAGTTAAGTTCTCTTTGGCCAGTGAACTTGTTGACCTGAATGTGCCGTAGTTTTTATCGGGCGTTCTGTTAAAAAATGTGTGTTTTTTTTGCTATTCAAAATGGAAAAAAAGGCTGTTGGCACCAAGAATGCTGCTTGTATTCTATATATTTTGCTCTTCATTGTTCCTAAAAAAAAAAAAAAAATCTTACGTTGCTTTAACGATCCTGAATAGATCTTTATAGGAAAAGTGGAAGACGATGTCTGGTCAGAATGTCCTTCGTGAAGACATGTGTACATTTGCATAAAGAATGTTACATATATTAGTTTTATTAGCTTTCTTTATAGAATATTTGCCATGTTGGATATTTGTCTTTAACCTGTCCCGCAAAGAGGTTATATCCGGCATTTTTACCCGTGTCTTTATCCTCATTTGCCCTGAAATTTAAAGAGGTCGTAGCGTAAACTAGTTCTTTTGTACAATTCAACGCTTACTGCAGAACGTAAGACAATAATGACTAATAGAAGATGTTCTAAGCAATGAACACGATCCAGTTGTGGCTTCAAGACGTTCGGTTGGCTTCGGGGTGATATGCAGTTGTGTGGATTCTGGTGAGAAGGCTGGTTAACGGAAGGAACAATTTGATTTCAAATTGATGACAGCTATTATAAAAGTACATCAAATGTTGAATAAAAGCACAAGAGGATTTTTTTTCGTGACAGTCTTATAAGCGATAAGTTTTTTAATTTCATGTTGAATAGATCAACATATGTCAATATATATTTATAATCACTAAAAGGAAAGGAAGGGACATGACAGTTTTAACTGCTGAAAATAGCTCTCAGTTGCCTATGTGGCTGTCTCGTGTTGATTCCTTTTTCAAAGACTGGTGTTAACCTCTTTGAGTGTTGTCAATGTATTTCTTTTTTTTGCTGGCATTGAAAAATTTACGATTGTTTTTAATTTCCAATATTTTGGTTTTGTCTAGTGACGTAAATTGGCTGGTGGTTCGCAGAAACTTTAGGTCTGTAAACTAAATTCTTAAAATATTTTGCCTAGATATTTTTTCCTAAAAGATGAAATCAAAAAGCAAGTTTTCCTATTTACATAAATATCTTCTTAGTTAATTTTCCTTTGTTCCATTTTTTCAATTTATTGTAATGGGCAGTAATAATAGGGTTCAATATCAAATCCTTAAATAGTGGTAATTGTTCGTGGTAAAAACCGAGGGTTCCAATTTTTTTCAACTGAATTATTAATGTCTTTTTTACCAAGATCCTTCAAGATCCTTGTATTTTGAGCGAACCATAAATCTTCAAAAGTCATTAGTCACAAAAAATATCCATGTCAAGACAAATATTTGTTCGTTTTCTATTGTTTGTCCAAGAATTATTGATTGCTCTCTCTTTGTGTATTGGAAAATCCCATATCATTGTTCAATGGGTTATTTAGACGGGACAAGATTTGTGTTCATATTATTTTTTTATTTAAAAATGTACGGATATTATTTAAAAAAAATTTATTCGAACTGGAAATGATTTTTACAAAAATGTATTGTTGGTATTTAAAATTTTTTTACAGATGCCATACTTTTGAAACCCCAGTTTATGATTTTTAACTATTTGCCTATAGCTGGGATCTCGTCGTGTTTTCCTGAAGAAATGTGCCCTGTGGAGCCCCTGATTGTCCACGTCCAAATTAGGACACCGTGCATGAAAGATGAAATGAATTTTGTTTTCCAGCCTGTTGAATTCAGCGTTCGAAGTT